GCCTGTCTGTCTGTCAGCCTGTCTGTCAGCCTGTCTGTCTGTCTGTCTGTCAGCCCCGCACCAAGCGACATCATCAGGTTCTGACTGAAGCGGGTCGTTCAGATGAATTCTTTTATAACGGGCATGTAGAACCTGTCAGCCTGTCTGTCGGTCAGCCTGTCTGTCTGTCAGCCTGTCTGTCTGTCAGCCTGTCTGTCTGTCTAACGGGTCCTGATGAACTGTGACGTTCAGCGGCTGCAGTGTCATAAAACACAACGTTTGATTTAAAGCTTGATTAGTTTCAGATATAATTAATTTTAAAAAGATATTTTATAAAAGAACAATTAAACATGAGTGAACCGTTATGACCTGGTTCTGAACTTGATTAAAGTGTAATTTAAATGTTTTTTTTATTAGATTAGCTCAGATTACATAACATTAACTGGGCTGCTTGTGCTAAATATTCGATTTATTATGGAACATGCAACTTTCCAGTTTCTTTTTAAAACAAACGTCGATGGTGGAAACGTAAACTGGGAAAGCTCTGAGGTGTCTTGTTGTGTGGTGGGTTTGTTGGTTTGCATCAACACAGAACTAGATGCTCGGCTGTCGTCTTTAATCTCGGACCTGTCGTGTGTTTCCTGTGCGCTGCAGGTAAAGCCCCTCACTTCCTGCGGCTGCAGAACGTGGAGGTAAACGTGGGTCAGAACGCCACGTTTCAGTGCACGGCTGGAGGAAAATGGTCCCAGCACGACAAACTGTGGCTGCAGGTTCGTGCCCTCACCTCAACAAATGTGTGCATGGACACCCAGTCACAGCAAACATCAGGGCTCTGCACAGAGATGTAAACAACAACAACAACAACAACAGCCTCGTTTCAATACAGGAAGTGATGCAGCCAAACTCCAGCTCATTTGATTTATTCTGATTCTAATCGGTCCAGCTGGGATTTTATTCAGTTTGTGTTAATCAGAATAAAAAAACAAATAATCTTCATGTTGTTCCAACTCAACCCAGTTTATTCCAATTCAGCTGAAAATATTTCCTGCACTTAAAAAACTGTTAAGATAAAATTACACTACAATTAGACTTATCCATTTTACTACGGTTCATAACTTTGTTCTGTCTGTCCATCCATCCATCCATCCATCCATCCATCCATCCATCCATCCATCCATCCATCCATCCATCCATCCATCCATCCATCTTCTTTCTCTTATCTGAGATCATGTTTATGGAAGTAACTGGTTCAGGAGGGGGAACTGAAGGTGTTCCCAACCCAGAGAAGATAGATAATCTATCCACTCAGTTCTGGTTCTGTACTCGGCTCTTCTCTCAGTGGGACAGATCCAAAAAGCCATCAGAGGGAGGTTCATCCAGATGCCTGAACTCTGATGAGTCTGAGCTCCCCCCAGATGATGGAGCCTTAACTCCAAGGCTAACTTGTCCACCGTGCACTGGAAGCTCAATTTATTTTATTTAGCCAGTTTTTCCTTTCAGGGTCAGCAGGAGTTGGTACCATCACCAACTGTCTCTGTGTGAGAGAGAGGCAGGACTCACCTGAGCAGGTCTCAAGTCCAGCAATTCACACCAGAGTCCTGGTCTGAATGTGCCCAGAAACAAAATAAGAACTTATCACAGCTCAGATGAGTTCAATTCATTCATCATTGTCAACTTGTTTTTTTATTGCTGCTTGTTAGATGTTAAAACTGGTCATATATAAAAAGACAGCACATGCAGAATCCATACATCTGGCAAAACTGTTGGTTGAAATGTAAATGTATTCACGTCCCTTCATGAGAAAGGGACTGGTTAAGAACTCCATCTTTTAACTGAGTCCTCGAGGCTCAACGTGATTAACTTGTCTAAACAAAGGTTGAATGAAAAAACTCTCTGGTTGATTCAAATCTTTGCTTTTCTTCGCTCCACTGATTCCATCTTTGAACAACTCGTGTCTTTTCTGTGGACGTCTCAGTCTCAGTCAGGCCAGCGTGTTCATTCCACTTTACATTCACGTGCGTCTGCATTTTATTTTGTTTCAGCGCGACGCCAAACCCCTGAGAACACTGCAGGGCGCAGTAAGAGCGTTAACCCTCCCGGCTGAGGGTCTCTTAGGAAAAGTCTATTTTCCTGAACGCTCCGATGAGACGGTGCTTAAATAAAGATTGGATCTGAAGATGCAAAGCAGAAAGAGGCACCGGTGCTCCTTTTACATTTCATGTCTGAGTTGCTCCGAGCAAATTGTTTCCTGCATTCACTTCCTGATTCTAAATCCAGCAAATTTAAAAACTCTTCAGAGCAGTTCGTAAAAAACTGGACTAAAATGATTTTACATCAGTTTTTAATTGGAGGACTTTTAAACAGATGCACCTGATCATCCCCACAGCGTGACTGAGATCAGACTCCAGCATTTAGGAGAACCCGTCTGACTTTTCTCTCCCCCCCCCCCCCCCCACCCCTCGCAGCAGTGGAACGGTAAAGACACGGCGCTGATGGTGACCCGGGTGGTGAACCACCGTCGTTTCTCAGCGACGGTCAGCGTCGGCGACACGTCGCAGCGCAGCACCAGCCGCTACCGCTGCGTCATCCGGTCAGACGGAGGATCAGGAGTGTCCAACTACGCCGACCTCATCGTCAAAGGTACGTCCTGACGTCAGCGCCGTCAAAGGTACGTCCTGACGTCAGCGCCACGTCAGACTCAGGCGTCCGAGGCCGAGTCACACGTTGAAGTTTAAGATTTCTTCTGAAACAAGCTTCGGTTGGGCGGTTGTGCTTTTGTTTATTTGTTTATTTGTGTGGTTGTGTTGTTATGTTGTTGTGGCTCATTAGTGCTGTGAGAACTTCAAGAGCTCAATACTGAAAAAAAAATCAGGGAAATTGTGTGATGTGCCCCCCCCCCCCATCCGTCAATCAGCCTGTCATGTCCACTCTTACTTTGAAAAACCGTGATATAGTGAATATGTGAAATCGAACTGTGAAGTAGCGAGAGACTGCTGTCGTCTCATATGTAGAGGCTCACGTGCTCATTTCCTATTAATGTCTTCATTTTGGATAAAGAGTTAAAAGGCTAGGACCCCCCCCCCACACTCTGATCCTGCTGAACGATGAGTGCAGCCCTGGTGCAGCAGGACAAACTCCGAGAAATACTCAAATCTTTATGTTTAAAACAAGTTTGATGTGTTCTGTAATAAAAAATAAAAAATGTTTCATCCTGTTCAGTTCCAGCCCAGAAAAACACTCGTCTTCAAACTACAAACATTCATTATTCAAACCTTTCAGCGCCAGTTCTGCTCGTTTCACTGATCAGGTACAACTCACACAACAACACAAAGAGCCGATCGATTCTGGTTTTACATTTTCAGGTAAAAGTAAAAACTGAGGTGTGTTTGTGTTGTTGTGTTGTTGTGTGTCTGTGTTGTTGTTGTGTTGTTATGTTGTTGTGTTGTTATGTGTTTGTGTTGTTGTGTGTTTGTGTTATTGTGTGTCTCTGTGTTTGTGTTGTTATGTGTTTGTGTTGTTATGTGGTTGTGAGTCTGTGTTTGAGTTGTTGTGTAGTTGTGTGTCTGTGTTGTTATGTGATTGTGTTGTTT